AAACAAACGGGGGAAAGCCGCCATAGTGGTCAAAAATGGTCGCGAGCATGGTCGTCGTCTGGAGCATTGCGCTCACTCGAGTTCGCCCGAGGTCGGGGACGTCGGCTGTCGTCAGCGTGCCCGCGTCGCTCGTTTGATACGTCGACCTGATCAGCTTGGTCGGACGCTCTACGCAGCCTCACCGTCAGCAAAAAAAGGAATGACGACAGAGCTCCACCTCGTTCTGCCGTGTCGTCGACGCCGCGCGGACGTACCACACCAGCAATGGGCCGCCGCAGTGCCCGCGTGTCTTCTCTTTTCCGCCGTTGAAAGGTCGCATGCGCAACGTCGAGGATATGAGTGACCGAGACCTCGCACTGCGTCCCGTCGAGAAAAATGCACGGAAAAAGCATGTCGCTTGCCGGTGGCGATGACAAATGCGCGCTCAAGAGATCGAGAGCCGCACAGTCGAGCGCTGCGTGGCGGCCATGGACAAGAAAGTAGTCCACGATCGTCGCCGTGTCCGTCTGCACCGTTGCCACAGAGTGCGACGCCAGTGGCAGCGCGGCAAAGGGCCGCAAGGCGTAGCCCGTGAGCGTCAGCACAATCAATGTCGGATCGCTCAAGGGAATGATGACCGCGCCCGTGTCTGTCTTGATGACGAGCTCGTCGCCCGTGGTCTCTCGCCACTGGCTGCCCGTGACAACGCCATAGTTCCAGGTACCGGCTAGCGCAAAGCAGACGTACGACCTGACGTACGTCGCGGCGCCTGCATCGGCTTCGCGCTTGGACACGATGTGCTCGCGGAAGCGCGAGATGAACGGACCTTGTTGGATGCTTGCGGAAAGGAGATTCGGCTGAGCGTGCATCGACGCCACCGTGCGGCCCGATGGAATCGGTCGGACGTGCCAGCCCAGAGCAATGTGCTCGCACTCAACGTAGACCCAATGCTCAGTGTCAAAGACGTCCGGCGGGACCAGCGCATAGAAGGTCGTGTCGGTTGGAGCACTCCAGAGAAGCCCGGGAATTTGCCCATGACCACGCGCTTTTGCAAATAAACAAACTGCCGCAACGGTGACCAAAGTGAAGTACTGTGATTGGTTGAAACGTATTCTAAATCAGAATATGTTTCAACCAAGCATGGACAGATCGCTGGCACTCCGAAATTCTGAATACCAGCGACCTGTCCAAACCAAATATCCAAGCATCCAATGAGAGGACTGCAGTCACCAACAGGAGTTAGCTGACCGAGTGCTTTCCCGATACCTCGCTGGCGCCGACGACAGTGCATTTTTTCGATTTGATGGTCGCGGCACCGACGTACCACAAGTGGTTTCAGCGAGCGATGACGCGTGCGGGTCTCCTCTTTGCCGCGACGGAGAATGATGAGACGCTCGACGCCCTGCGACTTTATTGGCTCGTCTCAGTCATCTACCTCACGTTGGCAAGCAACTACCGCGTTCGAGCATGGATCTGCGACGACTGCTTCGACACCCGGGGTCGCTCGCACGCTGGACGAAGAACGAGACCAACGTCTTCGCAACGCGTGCGGCCACCCACATTCAACATAAGCTTACTAGTATTGTGCGGGCTTGTGCCGAGTACTAGTAATCAAATGCGAGGAGATAGAGCATCCAACGTGTCTTGGCGTCAATCATCACTAGCGCATCGATGATATAATATATCATCGATATAACCTAAGCGAGGTGGTAACGTTGCGTCATTGAGTTGAATGCTTGGCGTCAAGCTGGTTTTCACTCTAGCGTTTTGCTTCAACCGGATCCGGATAAGACACAATCTGCTTGGAGGTTCTGCAGTGGAGGCACGATTAATATTCTGCAAGCAAATGCAAAATGAAGGCCGCCTACTAGTGTGACGCAGAGGCACGTGTTGTTATCAAGCTGGAACGGCGATGCCGAGCCTTTAGTTGCTTGGCCCCGCGTCAGTCCGACCACTTCTACCTAGTAGTCAAGTACGTCGTACATTGCACAGCACAATTCGAGAAAGGACGGTCGCAATGGATCGCTTTCAACAAATTATCGATGCATTTCAGCCTCGGTTCCAAGACATGTGGGTGCTACGCTCGAGCGACTCGAAGAATGCGCTTGAGACATCGCAAAAATACCACCGATACCCAAACTAATACCATCGCTGGAATAAAGCAGGCGAGGAAGCCTGTGGTCCGCCCCGGCACCTGCGAGTGGTATTACCTTGAGCGCATAATGGACATGGTCTCATTTGCCGAGATGCTCCGTCGCCATCATCTCGTTGTGGCGCTCTCCACCGCCGCCGCCGCCAGCGAATGGCACAGCTGCCCGCTCTTCTCGCACGTTGGCAATGGCATCGACTCGATGGTCCAGTTTCCGACCCTAAGCAACCTCACCGCCGAGTGCCTACACCTCCAAGTCCCCGTGTGCTACCCCGGCGTCTGCACCAGCGACAACAAGACGCTGAGTGTCTTTCTCAAGCGCCTTCCGGCGACGCGCCCAACGACGCCGGGCAAAGCCGTATGGCTGATGCAAGGCGGTCCTGGAGCACCGTCCGACGCCAGTACGTCCACATCAACTCCTTTGTGTGGCGGGTTTACGTATGAATGATTGTGTAGTGGAATTGTCCATGTTCCAAGTGTTTAAGGCTGCCAAAGGCACGATGAGCCTCTACACGATGGACCACCGCGGCGTCGGGCGCAGCTCGCGGCTCGACGCCAACTGCCCCGAGCTGAACGGCGAGAGCGACATGGGCGACAAGGAAGCTGCTACTGCCTATTCCAACTGCTTCCAAAAGCTCAAGGATCTCTACGGTAGTCGTGTCCTTCAAAGATATGGGTATCATCAACGCCTTCTAGGTGCCGATGCGCCCAAGGGTTTCTCGGTCACCAGCGCAGCGACAGACCTCGCGTCCATCATCGAGAGTCCGATGCTCGCCAAGGACGATGTCTACGTCTACGGCGTGAGCTACGGCACGTACTTGGTCGAGCGTTTGATGCACCTCGCGCCCAACAACGTCAAGGGTTACATTCTCGACAGCATGCTCGCCGAGAGCCCGGTCAGCGTGTACAGCGACTGGGACCGTGACGTGGCCAAAGTTGGTACGACGGCGATAAGTGAGGTGTAGGGTTATGATCTATTTTTGTTTAGAAACAACCTACTACGGCCTCTGCGACCGCGACGCTAAGTGCTCGTCGAAGATCGGTCCCAACTCGAAGCAATTCGCGTTCGATTTGTACAAGAAGCTCGATGCGAACGACACGGCGTGCGCCCAAGCGATCTACGCAGAGAAGGGTCTTCCGTCGGACTTTCTTGGGAGTACGTTTTCCGACATGTTGACCAACTACAAGCAGCGCAACTTGATTCCTGCGATCCTATATCGTCTTGCCAAGTGTGTTGCGGACGTCAAGAGCGAAGCAGCGTTCCTCGCCGGTCTTCTTGGCCTTGCCTCGGAGGCCGCCGGCACCGAAGGGCGCAACGACGTTGTGCCTGGCGACATGGAGACCGGTGAGTCGGTCAGCGACGACCTTCTCTACCACAACATTGTCTTCAACGAGATTTGGGGGCTACCGTCGCCGTCGTTTAAGCGCCTCCGTGACGACGCTGCCAAGATTACGTGGCGCAGCTCGTCGAGCGACGACACCAAAGACAACCTCTTGACGTTTTGCGCATTCCGCGGCCACTTGGACCCGGTCTGCGAGAAGCTTGGCGTCAAGAAGCAACAGCAAACGTTTGCGTACTCCCACGACCAGTACTGGAACAAAGCGGCGGCGATCCCGGCCGGTGCGAGTGCCCTCCTTCTCTCGGGGGCGATCGACATTCAGACGATTCCCAAGTACGCCGTGTCCGAGTATGCGTCGATGGTCGGCGACAAGAAGCTTCTTTTGCAGTTTCCGTTTGGCGGCCATAGCATCATCTCGACAACCCCCACCGATGCCAAGGTACCCTGCTACTCAACGTTTTACGTGGCAATAACATCATATTCGAACTAGCGTCCCGGGAAAAACTGCGGCATGGACATCCTCAACATGTACCTTCAGTCGGGCGGCAACCTCAAGGCCATCAAGACCGACTGCATGAAAGATGTCCTGCCCCTTGACTTTACGCTTATTCGCGACAAGGACAAGGCATTGGAGCTCTTTGGCACCACGACCGACCTCTTTGGCGATGAAGAACAACGCCACCTCCGCCATAACATCATCCCGTAAGATGGTGCTCCGCACTCCAGGCCAAGACAACGGTATGTACTTTGCAGTGCCTTTAAGTGCTAGGCGTAGCGACCAGCTAAGGATGTGTGCATATCAAAGGGTTTTGCCCGCCAGCGTGAAATGTTTGACACTTCCCATATGCTGCATCGATATATATATATAACGTTATTGTACAATTGGGAAATGACAAAATGGGTATTGGAATATTCGTCGAAACTGAATCCCATATGTCAAATCTGGTGCACCCAGATTCTTATATCGTCCCCAAATTCGACCTTTGGCCTCCAGGTCCGACGAACATTTCAAAATTACACCCAGTTTCGTCATTTCGCCTATACATGCACAATTCGCGCACCATCGCCACCAGCGACCAACCAAAACCCCACACGACAACACACAATAGCAATGTTTAGTTCATGTGGAAAACCATGTCCTAGTAGTAGGGTCGGAGAAATCCTCCACTGCTTTTCAGTTGCGCATTAAACGATCGCCACCTCGCTCGTAATGGTCACTTCCTTGGCTGCATCGACAACGCCTTCAGGCTCGACGACCGAGGCCGGTGCCGTCTTCAGGTCTCGCTTGACCTTCTTGACGTACAGCGCCATACCCAATACGGCAAAGACGCAGGCAATCATGCCCCCGGAAAGCGCCATCATCTCCATCTTGTGCTTGGCGTCGACGTCATCTGCCTCCTGCGAGTCGACTTGGCTCTTGACAGCCGCCTTGATAGCATCTCCAAACATATCGGTCGTGTTGCCAAAGAGCTGCTTGCTCTTCTTGCGGTCCAAAATTGTCGTAAAGTCCAGCGGAAGGACGTTCGCCATGCAGCGTGTGTCAATGGCGCTGAGGTTGCCGTCCGACTGGAGGTACATGTTGAGGATGTCAATGCCGCACGTCTCGCCGAGGCTCTAAGCGCTATGAGCAAACGAAAAAGAAAGCATTGAAATACCGTGACGTTGGTCGGCGTCGTTGCGGTGATGCCGTGGCCGCCAGTCGGAAACAGCAAGGACAACTTGTTGGAGCCAGCCATCGAGTTGAACTCGGCGACAGCGTAGTCGGGCTTTGTCTGGATGTCCAGGCCACCAGTGAGCATGAGAACACTGGCCCCCGCTGGAACCGCCGCCGTCTTGTTCCAGTACATATCGCGGTCGTAGGCGAACGCTTGTTTTTGCTTTGTCCAGCCATTGTCTTCACAAACCGGATCGTCCATGTTGCGGACCAAGCAGAGCCACATGAGTTTGTATGTTGTAGCGAACGCCGTCGTACTCCAAGAAATCTTGTTGGCGTCGACTTCGAGGCGGTCATACGACGGCGACGGCAGCTCCCAGAGCTCGTTCATCGCAATGTTGAAGTAGAGAAGCGTGTCCATGGCCGCATTCCCCGTGACCTTGTCGCCAGGCACAACGTCCGTCTCGTTGGCCTCGTACTCTTCATCACTGTCCTCAATGGGCAGTCCCAGAAGCCCCTTGAGGAAGCGCGTTTCACTCTTGACGTCGACGACGCATTTGGCGAGGCGGTAGAGCACCGACGGAATCATGTTGCGCTGCCAGTAGCTGATGACCATCTCGCGCAAGGCCGACCCAACAAAGTCCGACGGCAGACCTTTCGCTGCGTAGATCGCCTGGGCACACGCCGTATCGTTCGCATCGAGCTTCGCAAACAAGTCGAACGCAAATTGCTGCGAGTTGGGACCAATCTTGGACCCGCAAATCGGGTCCTTGTCGCAAAAACCATAGTAGGTTTTCTCTACACCCAAAATAGGTTGGAACCCTAGCCCTCTCCTGTCAAAACACAGGACGTACCCACATTGGCCACGTCACGGTCCCAGGCGCTAAACATACTCACGGGGCTCTCGCTGACAATGCCGTCGAGAATGTAGCCCTTGACGTTCTTGGGGGCCAAATGCATGAGCCGCTCGGCCAAGTACGTGCCGTAGCTCGCGCCGTAGACAAAGACGTCGTCCGCAGCGAGGAGCGGACTCTCGATGAGAGCCGCAAGGTCGGTCCCCGCGCTCGTGACCGAGAAGCCCTTGGGCGCCTCGTGGCCTAGTAGACAGAGTGAGATCTCGTCTAGACTTGCAGTGTATACCATAGGTGTCTTTGAGCTTCTGAAAGCAGTTGGAAATGACAGCACTGTCGCCGTCCTTGCCATCCAAGACTCGGATCTCGGGGCAAGACGCACTCAAGGCGGAGCTGCGGCCGACGCCGCGGTGGTCCATCGTGTAGAGACTCATCGAGCCGTTGGCCGTGGTGTAGACGCTGGCCATGTACCCTTCCACTAGTTGATTTGTCATCATGAGAGATCACTCGGATGGAATCAAAGCAGCGTACTGCCTTGCGACGGGCTCCCCGGGCCGCCCTGCAGTAACCACACGGCCTTGCCAGGCGTCGTCGGGCGCGTCGCCGGAATGCGCTTGAGAAAGATGCTGATCGTCTTCTTGCTCGTGCAGACGCCCGGGTAGCACAAGGGTACTTGGAGGTTGAGGCACTCGACTGCAAGGTCGGCGTAGGGCGGCGGGGAAAAGTAGGCGGTGTAGTGGGTCGCATTGCCGACCGACGAAAAGAGCGGGCACGCATGCCACTCGTTTGTCGACGTGGATCCGGCGGTTAGCGCCGCCATCGAGGCGGCGAGGACGACACTTGAACGAAGCATTTTGAAAAGTGAACAGCAATCCT